GGTAGGAGAGGTAGGTTAGACCCGAAGTCGGTTGAAATAAACTGGAGGGTAGGTCAGGAACCCAGATATGCATGACAGTATATTATACTATGTTATTATGTGGTGGTGGTAGAGAGTAAAATAGTCCCTGATTACCGGTTGAAAGAGACCGAAGGGGTATGCCAACACCCATATATGCTAGGTAGTATCTGATTTATGTGTATATGCTAGGGTATTAAGTGGTAGTGGTTGGGGGTGAAATAGTCCCCGATTACCAGTTGAAAGAGGCTGAAGGGGTAAGCTAACACCCATATATGCTAGGCAATTACTGGTTGAAAGAGATCGAATGGGTAGGCTAGCACCTAGATATGCTAGGTAGTTACCCGTTGAAAGAGACCGAAGGGGTAGGCCAACACCCGGTTATGCTAGGCAGTATGTGTATTGTATGGTATGTGGTATGATGGGGGAACTCACTAAGCTTCGTGCTTATGATTTTCAATTTTGGTTTCAGGTACTTCTTCTTCAAAAGAAAAAGAGTCGACATGATCGCAACACATCACACTATGTTTTCCGCACATGAGATCTTTGGGATTATACTCTGATATTGTTTCATTACAACATGTTTGATTATTAACATACTGGTTTTGATATGGGATGACACTACGAATATTTTTATACTTTTGGTTTTATAATAACTTAATTAAAAATGAAATTTTTGGTCTTGAATTTTGGGATGTTACAGTAATCTTGGACTTTCACTCAGATCGTGGTCAAAGAGTATTAGCGGCGATAACCAACGTGAATGTTGGTTGTCACCGCTAATGCGGCCGTCTCCGCTAATACTCATATCTCTTGTACTATGGGTCATCGTTTCTCAGAACAACTTTTGATTGCATTCCGATCTCGAACAAGGAATACACCCGATTCAAAACCGATTTATTTTGTTACAGATCGATAGCGATGAAGATGAGTGGTAGGGAAGTAAACGAAGACCTTTTGGTTCTTGCATAAGAGTAGAAGACGGAGAGTTTTTAGTGGTTAAACCTTTTGGTGATTCCAGCGATTATGATTTTTTTTCAAACAACGATAACCATGAAGATATTCTCGCCGATGTTCATGGCGGCGATTTACATGATAGTAAGTGAAAGCCAGCAAGAAAAGGTAAATGGTGGTGGGTTGAGATCGAAGTCTCAATGAGAGAGAGAGAGAGAGAGAGAGAGAGAGAGAGAGAGAGAGTTATGATCTATAGAATAGATAGAGAGTGGGTAGGAGTGGGTGGTGAGCCCAATTCTTTTTTTAAATTATACATTATAAATAATAATAAATAAAATTAGATTAATTGAAAAGTATATATATATATATATATATATATATATATATATATATATTATATATATAAGGGTATTATGGTCATTTCAGATCTAACACAAACTAAAACTGCAACAAAATCGTCTTTTAGGGATGAAATGTACAAGTTTGAACTAAAAGATGGACGATCCAAATTAATTTTTGAAAATAATGACTGAACGTGTCTTTTAGCATTGGACGAGAGACGATTCGTGTAATTTACTATGATAAATGTTATTAGATTAGTTAAAAATGGTTATTAGATAATATCTATTTTTATTATATTATATTAAAATATTAAAAATATTTATTAAGATTATCAAAAAGAAACAAAAATCTACAACAAAACCATCGTATTTTCTTTTTTTCCATTTTTTAATTAATATAGTTTGTTTTTGCTCGTAAAAAATACCATATATTTTTATTTGTTTTTTAAAAAACCCCAGTATGACCATTGTGAGTTTTATTGCCGTTTTAAAAAATTCTCAAGAGAAGTCGCAATTTTTTTTATTAGACTTAAAGCCATCGACTTCTTTTTTTCTTTTAAAGAGTCATTTTTCTTGTAAAAAATTCTTCATTTAGAAACATTTCTGGTTAGAAAAAGTTATTCATTTAGAAACATTTGTTAGAGGAGACATTTTTCTTGTATTTTTTTTTAATGTTTTAATATATATATATATATATATATATATATATATATATATATATATATATATATATATATATATATATATATATATATATATATATATATATAATAGATTTGTATTCATAGCAAAAATTGATTTGTTTTAAAATATATATAAAAAAAAGTTTATTCAAATCAAATGGTCATATGACCGTTAACCTGTCTCCCCCCTTTCCTAAGTGGACTAACAACCAATGTTTTAAAAACATGATTTTTAGTTGAACCAATCAGGTGATCGGTTTCGGTTCCACCGTCGGTTTTAACTTAGAGTTTTTCTACATCTGGTGGTGGTGTGTGTCTGCTTTTGAGTTGTATACACTTCGAAAATGTTTAATTTTCTTTACAAATAAGTTATTTAATGGACTAAGTAAAATCCAACTATAAAAGTCCAATAAATCGGTTTAAACGGTATTTAACGGTTATCACACCGGTTCAACCCGATTTTTGAAGAATATGTCTGATTCGACCTGGTCTAAAAATTGATATAAAACCGGTCGTTATTGAGCCATCCTCGTCATCGGGAACAACCTGTTGAAACCATTTTTTTTAAAACATTGCTTACATCACTACACACTCACCAACCAGAAACAATAAGAAATAATATTTATAATTAGAATGTGAGATCAAAATTTAATAAACACTATATATATATATATATATATATATATATATATATATATATATATATATATATATATATATATATATGGGAGAGTTGATGCGAAAATAAAAATAATTTGCGAAAACAATGAAAATTATGAGATTGTGTCAACTCAACTTTATATTTTGGATAAAAATTCATCCAAACTTTGAATTACATTATGATAATCGATAATACATGAAAAATTGTTTTATATTAGCAAAACATGATTTTTGATATTTTATTATGAAAACTTGAATTTAAAAATGATTAAGAACGTGAAAAAAAAAAACAGTTGTTAAAACCACCTTTAAATCTATATTACCATAAGATCATCCGATGTAAACTTATTATCTTTAATTTAATGCTAATAAATTTAATTTTTATTATACATGTTTTTGATTTTTATAAGATAAAATCTATTTTAAAGTTTTTGCAAAATATTTATGTTTTCGTATGAAATTACTTTTATATATATATATATATATATATATATATATATATATATATATATATATATATATATATATATATATATATATATATATATATATATATATATATATATATAGTAATTGTAGATACTTGTTAGAGATGAAAGACAAGAAAAACAAAACAAAACCCTTACTTGATATGGACTTGTAGATACAACAAAAGATAAAGGCCTGCGTAAGAACTATCTAGAATTTTAGCAAATGACAACAATATATATATATATATATATATATATATATATATTATATATATATATATATATATATATATATATATATATATTTTACGGTTATTATTACAAACCAATTAAACTTAAAAGAAATAATTAAATCAAACATCTTCTCTCTCTTGTACTTCACGTTCCCAAAAACAAGTGTGTTCCAATACCTCCGAAAGGACCTAAATCAACCTTCAAAAACTTGCCATAACTTGGCCATCAATCCACTGAAGCAAAGCATCAATGGAACTATCTTATCTTAATTCAAGTTCTTGCACGAGATCTTAAATCCTATAAAATTGTATTTTTTTATGATTTCATGAAAAATAGAGAGAATATGTAAGAGAATGGTAAGTTATGTGTAATTTGAACCCAAACAATATTATGTTTACTGTCTTTATAGTTGTTGCACAATAGTTTTTTTGGCGGTTTTCTTAACTGCTAAAATCAGTGTACCCCAAAAGACTCCAAACAATAATACTATTATTTATGAATTACAAAAATGAAGTGCTGATTATTTGGAATCAAATGAGTCCAAATGGCACAAGGCCCCATTTTTGTGAGAGGAAAATAATTGTGAAAATATGTGATTTGTGCAGATTTAGCAGCCGTACATTATCTAAACATACGATGTGTAAAATTTTTATTATTTAAAACAACAAACTCATACACCCCTTACTCTTAAATCTAAACGTACTCCAAAAAACCACTAAAAGGTCCTTCATACACAACACATCATGCCAATATATGATACATTATGCTACAAAATTAAACCAATTGAAAACAAATACATTATAAAATGAGATATAACCGATAGTTGTGCCCATATGAAGCAAAAGGGTGAGAGAAAATCAAACTATTAAAAAATGTAACATGAAAAATACACCAATGTCGATTCTCAAAAGTCTTGACAATGTACTAAACATGTGTCCATCTTAGAAAAAAGGTAATCGTGCTAACAAGTCATCACTCCTTTAAAGCATTAACAATTAAAGAATCATGGAAGAAGTGCCACATGTTTGCAAAATAAAACATACATTTTCCACTTTTATGAGTAAGACACATCGCCAATGATTCATGCATACCCATAACAAGTTGTCTGAAGATGCAACAAAAGAATACATATTCTTCTCCTGTACACAAGACACCCATTTCATTTCACCGAATCTATTTCATAAATCTTGTATGGATGATTTGGAAAGTGATCTATTAAAGATTTTCACCCGAACTTACAAGCTGTGAAAGTATGAAGTCTGCCTTCGGACAATTCTTGGTTTCGAGTAATATAAATATGGTTCCGAATTGAGTCTCATTTCACATAAAAATCACTAACTTCATCGGAAGGAGAAACAAAGTATAGTGTATATATCTTCCCCTTGAAAACATGTAAACCACCGAAGCGTCAAGCATACATGGGTGGGAGACCATGACACAACAAGAAATATAAGCTTTAGGGACGACACCATTAGGTACGACACGAAGTTTTAGGGACGACACTCGACAATACGCGTTCTTGTCGTCGCTAAAGCCTCGCGTCGTCGCTAATAAGGGCGTCGCTAAGGGGTTTGATTGACGATCCGCGTGAATGTTTCCTGATCAAATTTTGTCCCTACGATTGCATCTTGATCCAACGGATGGGGTTAGTTACTGTTCACACCAATAGGGGCGACACCATTTGTGACGACGCTGTCGCCGCTAATGGTGGCGAAAATATGAGCGGGTGAATTTCCCTCCGATTTGTCGTCTCTAATGATTCATAGTTGTCCCTAAAGGGTTCCACCTTTTGTTCCCCATCAGGTCGCAGAACCTGATTAATTTCCAGTTTCCATTTCTCTCTCATTTTTTTCGGCGACAACCAGGAAGCATTTTCCGGCGAATTTCAGTGCATCCCACTTCTTCCGCCGGAGGGATTTGCAGCTTCTCACCGGGTTTCAGTTGCTCCACCGGCGACTATCACCACCTTAGCTCGCCACAGTCTCCGACGAACTTCTCCACCGGCGAAGGTGCGTTTCCCTTTCTCATTTCCATCGTCTTTTCTCTTTCTTTTTCTTTCTTCTCTAATTTTGTTGATTTTGGTGGTTTTAAGGAGATTTCTCTAATCTCCGACTTTTAGAACCACCACATCAACGCCATTGTTGCCGCCTGTCTCCGTCGATGTTAACTGTCTCCGGCGACATCCACCGTCTCCGACGAACTTCTCCACTGGCTCCACTGTTTTAAGCTCTACAACCACAGGTGCGTTCAATTTTTGTGTATATGTGTATGTATGAATTTGATATATGTTTGCAAGTTTATTTTGTATAAGGAATTTGATATATGTTTATGTCTATTTGAAAATGTATTTCAAGAAAAAGTGTTTGATATATGTGTGTGTCTATATGTGTATATGTATATGCATGTTTGGAATATGTATATGTCTATTTGGTATGTTTGGAATGTGTATATGTCTATTTGGTATTTTGTATATGTGTATTTGTATATGTATAATTGGTATTTTGTATTTGGTATTGAATTGGTATGTGTATATGTCTATTTGGTAAGTGTATACGTATGTATGTGCATTTGAAAATTTGTTTTGAGAAACTATGTTTGATTGTAGATTAATTTAGTGTGTATATGATGTTATAATTGCAAGTATGTATATAGTTTGATTTTAGATAAAAGGAGTGTAAACATAACATCAATGCAACTACATAAGAGTATATATTATTTAAATTTCAATAATATAAAATATTCTTACAAATAAACTAAAAATCAAATGTAAAGATAACATCAGAGCAACATTTTTAAATAACAACTTTTTGCTCATAAATAATATGTATGAATAATAGAAAAAAAGAACCGCATAAAACTTTTGTAGGGTGACTTAATTGTTAAGTAAGACTAATCTGTTTTTATAGTACGATATATTTTAATTTATATTCTTACTTTGTAGGATGTGGATGTTAATGTTTTTCTCCAAAACCCGATGTTTGTGACGGTAATTGAAGATATTATGCGCTCATTTAGCAAGCAAGTCGACAATGTGACCAACAACAACGATGATGGGGAAGACGATTAATATATATTGTTTTATGTTATGGATGATGTTATTATAGATTTAGATGATGTTAATGTGATATACTTTGTTTATGTTATTTGATGTTTTATGTAATGCAGATTTTTAAATTATATGTTTTATAATTTTATAAATTATGCATTTTTATATCATAAACTAATATAAAATATAAATTTTATCTAAAAAACAATCATTAGTGGCGACACCGTTAGGGACGATCTTAAGCATTAGCGACGACACATCCCGCCGGAATATTTGGCCAGAATAATACTGGCCGGTGGCAAGAATATTATTAGGGATGACACCTTTAGGGACGACGAGTGGTATTAGCGACAATAAGTATTAGAAACGATGCCTTTAGGGACGACTTTGGAGTATTAGCTACGAGGTATTTGAAGCGAACCAATTGAGACGACAAGTCGTCCCTAATACCTGTAGGGCGACTTTCTTGACTATTAGCGACGCTTTTTGTCGTCCCTAAAGGTGCCTTTTTTTGTTGTGGAGTTCATTTTGGTTTTCCGTTATAGAAAACCATAATTTATTTGTGGAAAAATTTAATAAAACTAACACCCACCTATATATTGATGGTGAAAAGACAAGAATAACCCTAAAATGTTCATCATCATAGACATCCACGGTGACAACAGGGATACAAACGGGTGGTTTGGACGTTATAAACTGGTTACTGTTCGATAGTGCAAATGATCTCCATGGCTTACAAAGTCTGTTGAATGCAAGAAAATCAACAACTCCAAGTTGCATCATAACTGTTAGAAAAAGGGATGAATAGATTGCTTGGATTCTCTGAAAGTCGTGATTCACTATCAAATTGAAGTATTTCGATGGTACAGATCGAACATTCAATTGGATGAAATTCAGGTAATGAAATTTTGAGAATGTATATGAAAATGTTCTTCAACATGTGCCAGAATATTGACCAAAAAACGGATATATCAATCCTGTCTGAAAACTGTCAACAGACATTTACAAATTGTCATAAAACTACCAAACTGTCATTAAACGAATGTCATGGAATAAAAGGTCAACTTTCTAAAATTGGATTTTTGATGCAATTTTTAAAACTACCAACAGCTCGATCCCAGCCAGGGGTTCTGCCCCTTGGACCCCGCCAGAGGCTGCCGCCCCTGGGACCCCGCTCCCAGGGGCGCTGCCCCCGACCCCCGTTCATTTACCCCTAAATAGCAATGTACTTTAAATCTTGAAAAACTTGAACAAGTGTGCACTCCTACACCATCCTAACTTGTTCAATATTCAACAAGATCACTTTTGGTCAACAAATTTAATCCTATTACACTTAAATAATATTTGATGATATAAAATCACCAACAATAACTAAAAAAAAACACATCATGGTTAAGATATGTCCAAGATGCCACTCCCCCGTTGTTACGAATGTTATAACTTATTTCTAGTTGTACTCCATGTCTTAGCCATTCCTAAATTTGCAAAACAAAAATAAGCATTCCACTTTCAAGACCTTGAAAGTCTAACAAACTAACCAAAATCACCTTATCAGGATAATTAGTTGTATATCATCCTATGAGTTATGACCCAGTAATCCAAATATAAAACAAAACTATTATATTGGCAAAAAATCATGACAAAGAAACTGATCAAAAACACTTAGCAAAATCAGAATTATATAAATGAGGCGATACATGAGCATAATCTTATTGACACTTATACTGAAGAATATTAAAGTGATTAAATTCATAGATTTTCAAAGACTTGTTGAGTTTTTGTTTCCAATATCTATATAAGAATAATATGCAGAAAAAAGTTAATGTTCAGTATCGATGAAACTTAAAGTCAAATAAAAATCGGTGATTATGGCTCTATTCAACACAGGAGTCAATATATAGAAGAAGAGATTTCGCTGTGTGATCATGCACTAACATCCAAATCATCTCGACTGATGTATAAGGAAACAAAGACGGATAAAATCGAGATGTTCTTGAAAAATAATTCACCTATTCGAAACTCAGAATTGAGAAATAGTATTAGCAAATGGTTTAAAAAGTAATCGGTAGAACTCGAAGGGAGGCTTATCGCATTTGGGATTGGAGACGTTTTCCCCTCTCTTCAGCAGGTTAAAATATGTCGAAATTTTATGGGCTCCAAATATTATTAGGCTAGGGTGTTCCTGGTAGCTTCCGTAAACAATTTTCTTTTATCAAAGTTTTAATGTTTTTTAATCAACGAGTACATATATTATATGCAAAAATAAAGAGTAAAATTCCAAATTTCGAAATTGCATTTTTGTTTAATTCATTGACTCAATCAAATATGAGGCAATCAACAACTATCAAATATCAAAAACTCTCTAATTCAAAAATACAAATTAATGAAATATATTCATATAACTTTTTGATAAGTACGTGGATGTTTTATTATTTTTCCTAAAGTCTTGACATCAATATATACAAAAACAAACATACAAACATTTTAAAACTAGTTCGTAATTAAGCATATGCATATACTATATTAGATGCAAGATTTGTATGTTGTACGGGTTGATTAAATATTAAAATTTAAATAATTAGTATTTTTTAAAATAAAATTTCGAAATAAGAAATTAACAAACATATTAATTGCAATTTACTGTCATATATATTACATTTAATAATTACGTATATAAGTAAAAAGCATTATGTGACTTTTTAATTTTAAAAATTAAAAAAACTCATAAGTTAACATATAAAAATTATTTATTTAAAAAATATCATAAAAATAACAAATATCAAAATTATGAGAGATTGAAAAGTGACCAAAAAAAAAAAAAAATTATTAGAGAAGGTAATAATCCCTATTTCATGTATACTTGTATAGTAACATTCTTCATGTTTATAATTTCTTATTATTCATTTTTATTATCTTTTCCTAACGAGGGTTTCCGAGCCAGCTTTCGCGCACCGACTAATCCCCCGCTGCAAACATAAAGCTTTGCCTCATGCTCTGGAGTCACTGCAGGTGAACCTCCATGGCTACAAGGGCTGAGTGGTGCCAGGATTTGAATATGGGTCAATAGGTTATCCACCATATCTTCCACATGCCTTACCAAGTCACCACAACCCAAGTGGTTTATTTTTATTATCTTCATGGTCTATATAAATGGAATGTACACTTTAAAAGTTACAAAACTACAAACGATGTAAAAACGACAAATAGTTTAAAAGACGTCATGGCTAAATGTAGGACCATATGTGAATGGAATTATAAAACGATCTACCTACGTACTTACAATCCAAGTTTAATTTTTGTTCATATATGTATAATTGGATTTTTCAATTTTTCTAACTGTTAGATGTTGGTTTATTCATCAAATATCATGACTAGTTTGGACCTTTTAAACCAACGAGTTAAACTAAAATACAATTTCGAAATTTGTAATATACTTTTGAAAAACTCTCGATTTTTGCATATAATATATGTAATCGTTGATTAAATTAAAAACTTTAAACCCTTTAATAAATATTTGTTTACGGAAGCTTTCAGGAACCCCTAGCCCAATAATGGAGCCCATAAAATTTGGACATATTTTAACCTGCTGAAGAGAGGGAAAAGTCGGGGAATCGTTTCCAATCCCAAAAGCGATAAGCCTCCCTCCGAGTTCTATCGATTACTTCTTAAACCATTCTGCTGAAGTTTCTGAATTCTGAGTTCCAAACAGGTAAATTATTTATCAACAACATCTCGATTTTATCAGTCTTTGTCTCTTTATACATCAGTCAAGATGATTTGTATGCTAGTGCATGATCACACAGTGATATCTCTTCTTCTATTAATTGCTTTTCTGTGTTGGATAAAGCCATAATCACCAGTTGTTATTTGACTTTAGTTTACATATATATTATTCTTATATAGATATTGGAAACAGTAAATTCAATCAGTCTTTGAAAATATATGAGTGTTAATCACCTTCATGTTCTTCAATGCACTAAGATTATGTTGATGTATCGCCTCCCTTAGGGGTTTGGGGATTAATCCATTTTAACGTTTATATATTTCTGATTTAGCTAAGTTTGTTTAATTAGTTTCTTTGTCCTGATTTCCTTACTACCTATACAATAGTTTTGTTTTTTATTTTGATAACTGGGTCATAACTCATAGGATGATATACAACTAATTATCTTGATGAGGTGATTTTACTTAGTTTGTTAGATTTTCAAGGTCTTGAAAGTTGAATGTCGTATTTTTGTTATACCTTGTTTTCAAAGGGAAGATATATATGCTATACCTTGTTTTCCCTTCCGATAATGTTAGTGGTTTATGTGAAATGAGACTCTGTCCGAAGCCCGTATTTATATTACATGATATCAAGAATTGTCCAAAGGCAACCTTCATGCATTCAGAGTTTGTAAGTTCCAGTGAAAATCTTTATGTGATGGATCTTTTTTCAGAT